CCCCCAAAACCCCAAAACCCCAAAACCCCGAGACTATCTTATTAAATTGAACTTCTGCTTAGAATATAACTCACCCGCTAGACTTCTCCTCTACTTTATCTGCTTTAACCTCTTCATATTCTCCCTCCTCTTTTTCTTCTAAGTCATGATATTTCTGAATGCAGGCTTCCATCTCTGGGCTGAGCCGAGTCGGAATTTTGACATGAAATTTAACGAACAATTTTCCTACATTAGCTTCATAAGGAATTCCTAGTCCTGAAATAGATATTTTTTCGTTGTTTTGAGTTCCTTTTTGAACCTTTATAGATCTTGGTCCATGAGGGGTCTGAATAGTCACTTTTCCACCCAAAATAGCTTCTGAAATTGACAATTCTTTGGTTAAATGAATGTCATAGTTTTTAAGGGTGAAATATTCTGATTTTAAGATGTTTATTTTTACCTTTAAATCTCCGGACTGGCCGAGAATAGCCTTACTACAATGACCATATCCAGGAATTGTGTGGATATCGATAGACCCAGGAGGTATGTAAATTTCTCTTACAATAGTCTCTTCTGGTACTTCATTGAAACATACTTTACACTTTGATCTTGCAAAACCTCCTGCCCCATTACATTTATTTTCAAATTTGCTCTTCTGAAGTGGTCTGGCTAGAGATGTAGCCTGCTCCATCTCATGAAGATCATTTAACGTATTCTGAAATATCATGGGCTTTGGTGCCATTGCAGTGGTTGCATTGGACATTTCAGTTATATTTTACCTTCATATTAGCTCCCTTTATTATGTCTTCTATTGACATATCTACCATTACGATAACGTTTTCTCCTTTAACATTTGTTTTAGATGCTGAAAATTTCTCAAAAGGGTTTCTCCATCCTTTAGCATACCTGTTTAGATGCTCGAAAGTATCTTCTTCAAATTTTGATCTATCATTCCAAAATGCTTCATTTTCCCAGTCCTCATAATCAGGATTATACTCTGTCTTGCTTTCACGAGGCTTGCTCTTCACAGCTTCTCTAGAATTTAAAATCACAATTACTGCGTATGTAACCCAGTCCAAGCTGCTTTAGCTATTGACATCTTTTGGTCATATTTTTCTCTTGATTCTTCGTTTGATAACACCTGATATGCCTCTGAAATCTGAGAAAATTTGAATTTAGCATCATTAGCATCGTTTACATCAGGGTGATACTTTTTAGCTAGGTCAAAATATGACTTCTTGATTTCCTAGAGAGTAAGCAATCTTATAGAATACAGCAATGTCACTTGTATGCTTCACATCTAAGATCTCATAATAATTAAGAGTCTTGTTTATGGTACAAAACGTTCTCCTGTACTTGAACATATTGATTATTAACCACCATATATTAATATATTTTGGGGTTTTGGGGTTTTGGGGTTTTGGGGTTTTGGGGTTTTGGG